AAGGAACTTAAACAAATTTACAAGAAAAAAACAAACAACCCCATCAAAAAGTGGGCGAAGGATGTGAACATTTCCTATTTTCCACGTAACTGTGGACAACAGCATTGCCAAGTCTGCCTACCGCTACATAATGTAGGTCCCCTTACCTCCAGCTTTCAGTAGCCTTTCTCTGCTTTTATTTTTAATTTTAGAGACAAGGTCTTTTTCTTTTGTGCAGGCTGGAGTTCAGTGGCGTGATCATATTTCACTGCAGCCTTCAACTCCTGGGCTCAAGGGATCTTCTTGCCTCAGCCTCCTGAGTAGCTGGGGCTACCCACAGGACGACCTTTTTTGGAGGCAGAGTCTCAGTCTGTCGCCCAGGCTGGAGTGCAGTGGCACAATCTCGGCTCACTGCAACCTCTGCCTCCCTGGTTCAAGTGATTCTTGTGCCTCAGCCTTCCGAGTAGCTGGGGTTACAGGTGTGCACCACCACACCTGGCTAATTTTTGTATTTTTAGGAGAGAAGGGGTTTTGCCATGTTGTCCAGGCTGGTCTCGAACTCTTGGCCTTATGTGACCGTCCCGCCTCAGCCTCTCAAAGTGCTGGGATGACAGGCGTGAACCACTCCACCCAGCCAGGCACTACCTTTTTATAAGCGCTCACTGTCGGTCTCCTCAGGGTCCTTTCAGCTTCCACCCACAGCCTGGGCCCAAAGCCAGTGCCCCATGGATTAGGGTTTGTCGCACCAGCACCACTTCCAGGTATCAAACTTTGTTCCAGTTATCAGTACCAAAGTAGGTTTCTTAAAACAACAAAAATCATGTTACTATCTTGGCTGCATAATATTTGGGGTGTTATGGCCTCAGATCAGCAACTTTTGTTCAAATGGATTAAGAAAATAAAACAGTTTTGGATACTGTACTTTCAACTTCCCTGTATGCTTCTTATTGTTTCAAAATAAATTGTTCTTCAAAAAGATGATTGACTGGGTGTGGTGGCACACAACTATAATTCCAGCACTTTGGAAGGCTGAGGCAGAAGGATTGCTTGAGGCCAGGAGTTCAAGACCAGCCTGGGCAATATAGTGAGACTGCATCTCTACCAAAAAAAAAGTTTTTTTTTTATTAGCCAGGCATGGTGGCATGCTACTCATGAGGCTGAGGCAGGAGGATCGCTTGAGCCCAGGAGGTCAAGGCTGCAGTGAGCTGTGATCCCGCCCCTGCACTCCAGCTAGGGCAACAGAGTGAGATCCTATCTCTAAAAAAAAAAAAAATTTTTTTAATAAATAAAGATCATCAGGCCAGGCGCAGTGGCTCAAGCCTGTAATCCCAGCACTTGGGAGGCCGAGACGGGCGGATCACGAGGTCAGGAGATCGAGACCATCCTGGCTAACATGGTGAAACCCCGTCTCTACTAAAAAATATAAAAAACTAGCCGGCAAGGTGGCGGGTGCCTGTAGTCCCAGCTACTCGGGAGGCTGAGGCAGGAGAATGGCATGAACCCGAGAGGAGGAGCTTGCAGTGAGCTGAGATCCGGCCACTGCACTCCAGCCTGGGTGACAGAGCAAGACTCTGTCTCAAAAAAAATAAATAAATAAAAATAAAATAAAATAAAGATCATCAACCTATTATGCATTTGCTTTGTAATAAATGTTTTTCCCAGTTTGGACTTGGTCTTTGAATTATGTTTATAACATTTTTAGAGATAAAGGAAATTTTTATGAAGTTATAAAAGAAAGAAGTGAGCCACAGCCCCTGCCCTCAATGATACCGCAACATGTTTAGGGGTATGCATGGGGGAGAGGCAAGTCAGTCAACAGCACAAGACGGGATGTGACATTGCCTGTCAACTCCAGCTGGCTCTCACTTGCCTTAGTAGCTCTCAGCCTGCTGCATGACTAGAAATCTTCCCATGAACAAGCTGGTTTCACAGGCTCACCATTCTGTTAACATTTCATATAGAGAGGCATAAAGCCTTTCTTTGTTTCCTAATAATGGTAGCCAGCCTCCACTGAGCACTCACTCTCTGCGGGTGTTGTATATGTGGTTCACTGCCTGCTTCCCCACACCGCCCTATGAAAAGCCCCGTGAACATCACCCCACGTGACAGGTGATGAGACAGAGGCTTGAGAGTGCTGACAGCCCACTGGCGTCACGGCTCATCAGCAGTTGAACTGAGATTCACACCAAGGAGCCTGGCCCACGACTTGAGCCTCTAGCCACTGGGCTAAGGTCTACAGTCCCTGACTTCCTTTGGTGGTCCCAGGCACTGACACTCAGCTCCCTAGTTCTGCCTCTGAGCAGCTGTCAGCCCAAATGAGGCCTGGAGTCTGGAGGTCCTATGACTTGGCCCAGCGTGCACTCCTCTGATAAGAGCAGCTTTACTGTGGTCTCTCTTTATTCCTACAGGCACCCAGGGATGAGGAAGTGGCCTCGTCAATATGAATGGTTCTTTATGAAGATGAGGATAGAACATATCTGGCTTCTGAAATGGTATGGAGGCGTATCCAATATTTCAAAGGAGGAATATTTCAAAGCAGTTCCCAGAAAGGCCTGATGGAGTAAGAAGAAAGTCCTTGGTGTTTGCACTTAAATAAAAACCTTTTCAGTGATGCAGCCAGACAGCATTGACCACTGTCTCTTTGTTGAAGGGTTCGTAGCAGCCCTGCCATCCCGGCAGCAGAATGAGAGAGGGCGAACAGGGAACTCTGTGCTAGATTTGAGATTAAAGTGGTCATTTGCAGATCTCCAACTCACACGGATACTTCACGTAGATAGTCTTTATTCCATCGTATTCAGTCCAGACCCACCTATTCAGAAATCATATAATAGCTGGTGGTCAAAATGCCGTTTTGAGATCATTGCTGTTTCACTCTTTAAGAAAAGGCAATGCCTGTACCTACAACGCGATTGCTTTGTATTGTGAGAGCGTCTTTGTTGCTTGCTGTGCCAAACGCAGTCTTGGTTCTAAGCTCGTCGTGACCACAAAGGAGCTGACTGTGCATCACGCAGCCACAATATTGTTTTTAGGGTGAGGGTGGAGGACGGTGTGTCCGTGGATTACTCTTCTGCTGGTGGATTGCAGATGCATTATTAGGTCGTATTGGCTAGAAGGTACTGGTCACTTATGCAACTTTTTTCCCACCATGACATGAAAGCAGTGTAAGAACACAGGATGCTTTGTGCACAGCCCTTCTCTATGCAAGCAGCCATGGCAGTGCGTTAAAGAGAAAGGAGCAGCTTTGACGTGAAGCTCCCCAGATCCCTGCTGCTCATACCTCTGGCAAGGGTTCCCCTCTCTCATGCATGAACAGGGGCATCCAAAATAAGAAGCTCCCCATTCTGTGGTGGAGAAAGCGGAGAGGGGAGAGGGTGAAGCTGGGAAAGTAAAGACAGCATGTTACAGAAGGAAGAAAGGAAGCCAGTAACTGAGGGCCCACTGCCTGCCCAGCCCTGGGCCAGGCCCTCAGCAGAAGCCATCTCATTTGAGCCCTGCAACCAATGAGCTGCACGTCATCGTTGGCTCTTACAGACAGGAAAACTAGACTCAGAGAGGCTGAGTCCGCATCCCAGACAGCTCACTGCAGACACGGGTGGAGTGGCTCCTAGAAGACGTCCAGTTTTAACAACAAAAGAGTTATTGAAATGCACGGGTAGAAATTGAACCAGGAAAATCAGTGAAGTGATTGTAAAAAAGAAGGACTAGCTTGCCTGGAGATGATGTTTCTTGCTTTTGGGGGGGGGGAAAAAAAAGTCTCTGAAATTTGATTCTTACTATAGATTTAAAATTTTCTACATATTATATGTAGGAGCTCCTAGTGTTTTCAAGAAATTAGACTGTACCTGTGTACACTTCTAAGGCCTACATGGACCTATGTATATATATCTAAGACCTCTGATCATTAAAACCTATAAAGGGTTGAGCTGTCTCAAGTTTTCTGTCTTTCTGTAATGGCTATAAACTTTCTTTGGTAGGTTAGGGAGGTTGTATAACATAAAAAACACATCACTATATATAGGAAATATGCATTTTTCAAGTAAATAAAAGTGTTATTAATGATTATAAACTTTTGCTTAACAAAACACATGATGAGAGCTTGAGTTGTCAAAATATATATATATATATT